TTAGGGGCCAGCGCCCCTCGGTGTAGGGCGGGGGGCGACTGGGCTGTACTGTGTAATCGGGGTGGGGAGCGAATGGGTTGTACTGTGTAATCCGGGGGGGAGCGACTGGACTGTACTGTGTAATCGGCGGGGGAGGGAGTGACTGCACTGTACTGTGTAATGTTTAGGAGATTGGGAGAGCAACATGATATAGAGGGATGTGTCCCAATATGTAGAAAGTGAGTAACGAATGGTGTGTAATGTATAAAGTTATTTTTATAGCCAAATCACGTGTGACATACAATATCCTGAGACTTGCATAAAAGTATACCAATTAATAGAAATCTATTAGTCATCAATTTAAATATCTAGTGTACAGAGTAAGGAATATATATTGAGAATAATCGGAATATCTAGAATAAGGAAGATTAAATATACAATGTGCAATCTTGAATATATAGAGAGAATAATGAATGTATGTTTATTGTATTCAAGAAATAATTAATATAAATATGTAGACAATAATTCACATTAAAATATAGTGTAATTTGACATAGAGGAAATGATTAATGCAAAATAATGTAGTGTTATATAAAAAGTAGAAATTAATGTTTAAAATAGTGATGAATAGAACATAATGTAGAGAGTAAATGTAAAATGTGAAATAATGAGTCATTAATATAGACAGTGTAGTAATTATAAAGAGAGTGCATTTAAATACTAAGTGGGGGAGAGAGAGTCATTGAGACAGGGAAGTAAGAATGATCCCACGGCTCAGGGTAGAGAGGGGGATCGAAGGTTGGAGGGAGTGGGATAGGGAGGGAGGGAGGGAGTGGGTGGTATTACAGGGCAGGGAAGGGTACAAAGGTGAGGTGATGGGGTTTTGCCATAACTGAGGGGTCTGGGTCTGGGTCTGGAGAGGTGGCTGGTGTACAGTGAAGGGGTGGGTGTTCTGAGACAGGGCTGTGGAGAGAACGGACACTCGAGAGTGGGAAACAAGAAGGACTGGAAGGGTGGGAAGGGTAAGTGCGGGGAGGGGAAAGGGTTGAGTTGGAGGCAGGGTGAGCAGAGAGATAAGAAACTAGAAACATGGGAGTAGGCCATTCAGCCCATCGAGCCTGTTCCACCATTCATTGAAATTGTGGCTAATCAGTGGCAAACTCCGTACACCTACCTTTGGCCCAAATGCCTTAAGGCTTTGCTTAAGAAAAAAAAAGATCTATCTCACATTGAAAATTAACAACTATTCTAGCATTGATTGCTGTTTGTGAAAGAGAGCTCCAAACCTTTCCCACCCTTTGTGTGTCTAAGTGCTTCCGAACATCTCTCCTGAACACTCTGGCCCCAATTCTCAGACTCTGCTCCCTTGTTCTAGAGCCTCCAAGTTTACCTTGATCTACCGTGTCTCTTGTTAAGATCCTGAAGATTTTCATCAGATCACCCCTTAACCTGCCAAATTCTAGAGAAAACAGGCATAATTTGTATAATCTCTCCTCATAATTTAATCCCTAAAGTCCAGACATCATTCCTGTGAGTCTATATTGTACTCTCTCCAAGGCCAATCTATCCTTCTAAAGGTGTTTTGCCCAGATCTGCTCTCATTACTCCAAGTGGGGTCTAACCAGGGTTTTGCATAGCAGCAACATAACTTCTGCATCCTTGTGCTTCAGTCCTCTAGATATGCACGCCATGAGATTTATTGATTATTTTCTGTTCCTGTTCACGGCCTTTTGAAGATTTATATATCTAAACAAACTCCCCCTTGCCAAGTCTCTTTAAGGGAGCGTGGGTGAGGCAGGAGTGCTTGAGAGAGGGAGAGGTGCAGAGACATGGTGGGAGAGGACATAGAAAGAACATAAGGGGCAACTTCTTTTGTTTTTTTTTACACAGAATGGTTCGTGTGTGAAATGAACTTCCTGGGTACAGTTACAATGTTTAAAAGACATTTGGATAAGTACGTGAACAGGAAAGGTTTGGAGGGATACGGGCCAGGTGCAGGCAGGGTGGGACTAGCTTAGTTTGGGAACATGGTCAGCATGGACCAGTCAGACCGAACGGCCTGTTTCCATCCCATATGACTCTATGGTTCTTCATCAGAACCGGCAGCAGCTAGGAAAGAGTAGTGGGAATCGCGGCGGTGGTGGGGGGAGTGGGAAGGGGGGTGGCCGGGGCAGTGAGGGAGCTGACATGGGGATTATTGATAGTAGGCCAGAAGAGATGAGAAGCCGTGGGGGACCGTGAGAATGAGGATGGGGGATGAGTGAGGAGAGGGTGCGGAATTGAGGGGAGTGAACAAGGTGGAGGGAGGAGAGGTGAAAGAGAGAGAGGGCACAGGAGGAGGTAAGGGGGCCAGTGTGACTCGAACCAATGATCTGACAGTGTCTCTCCCTTCCAGGTGATGCCACGCTTAGAGCCCTTGGAGGGCCCTCTCCGCTAAGGCGAGAGGGGTGACCAGGAAAGCGATGGAGACGCAGAGCAGTACGCTGATGGAGCACCAGTACATGTGCTCCGAGTGTGGCCAGTTGTACAACACCCTGGAGGAGGTGCTGGTGCATCAGCAGACCCATGTCGGGCTCCACGTGTATGTGTGCCCTGAGATAGCTGACTCTGAGATGAAGGAGCTGGGCCTGGCTCACACAGGAGGCAGCACCGAGAGCCGATTCCAGTGCCTGGAGTGTGGGCAGTTACTGAGTAGTCCCGATGAGCTGCTCCAACACCAGGGCCTGCACGCCAAGGAGGGCTTGGTCTGTGGCAAGCTGGAGATTGGCAGTTTCAGCCTGGCAGAGGGCAACCATCATTACGAATGCTCGGAATGCAAGCAGGTAGGAGTGAGCGAACCTGAGTGGGCCGACATACCCTGCAGTTTTAAACTCCATCGGAAAACCTGCCCATTCCCCGCCCCCCCCCCCCCCACCCAGCACCCAGCTCTCATTATCACTTATTCGGCTTCTCATCTCTTTTGGCCTACTATCAATAATCCCCATGTCAGCTCCCTCCCTGCCCCGGCCACCTCCCCACCCACCCCCCCGCGATTCCCACTACTCTTTCCTAGCTGCTGCCAGGAGCCATAGAGTCATATGGGATGGAAACAGGCCGTTCGGTCCGACTGGTCCATGCTGACCATGTTCCCAAACTAAGCTAGTCCCACCCTGCCTGCACCTGGCCCGTATCCCTCCAAACCTTTCCT